GCACTGGAATCACAGGGCTGTAGGTTTGATTCCTGCCAGAGAGTCTACATATAGTTGCGCTTAGTTGGTCAGAGCGCTGCACTGGAATCACAGGGCTGTAGGTTTGATTCCTGCCAGAGAGTCTACATATAGTTGCGCTTAGTTGGTCAGAGCACTGCACTGGAATCACAGGGCTGCAGGTTCAATTCCTGCCAGAGAACCTACATATAGTTGCGCTTAGTTGGTTAGAGCACTGCACTGGAATCACAGGGCTGCAGGTTTGATTCCTGCCAGAGAACCTACATATAGTTGCGCTTAGTTGGTTAGAGCGCTGCACTGGAATCACAGGGCTGCAGGTTTGATTCCTGCCAGAGAACCTACATATAGTTGCGCTTAGTTGGTCAGAGCGCTGCACTGGAATCACAGGGCTGCAGGTTTGATTCCTGCCAGAGAACCTAAAGTTGCATTTTTCACAACTGCTCCTGGTCAGGTCTTATGAATGTATAAAAATTCCGGAATTCTCGAAATTCAGTCCATCTACAAATCCCTTCAAGCATTTTAGATAAACCCATTATGTTTCATTGCGCGCCTTCTTTATTATTTTCTTTTGTCTAACGCCAGACGACTTCACTCGTCAAGGGCTGGGGAGCGCGCTGGCGCTCAGTGGCCTAAAAATGAGAAATGAATTTGCAAACGTTCAAGGAAGAATATCGCTCAAAGTTAATTTGTATAGTAGGTGTTGTTGTACAAATTTAACCTTGCCCTTGACTGATAATAGTAGTATAGTCATATCTAGTTTCCATAACATGTTATTCTTGCTATGCGTATTATAATTATGCTTTGTAGTTTGTAGACTTCACGTTTGTCTAGTTTCCATAACATGTTATTCTTGCTATGCGTATTATAATTATGCTTTGTAGTTTGTAGACTTCACGTTTGTCTTTGCAGGGCTACATAAGAGTGTATAGTAAACTCGCTGCAGCATGTCAAATTCGGTCTTTTGATGCAAGTATTTAGCTCGGGTATAATATTCCAGTTCTGAACAAATTAGTTATGCCTGCCCTAACAAGAATTAAGCTACACGTCAACAACGTAGTGTCAAATTCCATCACATGATTACAACGCAGACAATATTTTATGGAAAGCTGTAGAAATATTTTGCATCAGTTTACAGAGTCTGTCTCAAAGTTAAGATGTTTGCTATAGTAAACGGAATAATAAATTCCACCGTTGGTTTACTGTGCAGTAAACTACGAGATTACACTGCAGAGAGACTCAATGAAGGCGATTTAAATGAAGAAAAATGCAGACAGATTGTTGTTCGCGACATTGACGATATTAAGTCGAAGCTCGATGGTTTGTCGAGAAAGGACCTGCTTGCCAGTCTCAGCTTTTTCAAAGAAGGAGTTACCAGGTTCTATATTTCTCTCGAGACATCTGGTGAATCTCGTCATCAGCCCAGCACTTCAAAAGCACATTCAGAAGACGAATCTGACGTCGAAGGCGCAACAGCGGCGAGAGTTGAGCAGTTTCCTGTCACGCAAGCTAAACGCGATGCCTTAGAAAGCGTATTTGAACTTTCTAAAATCATTGGAAACTTAAAAATCGCATCGAAAGAACGCTACAAATTGGCTATAAAGTCTTTAGAAGAATCAAGAAGGCTAGCAACGGAAGTATTTAACAACGTAGCGTTGAGTGCAGAAGATAGATTGATGGCGAGCAAACTTCGCATTGCCAGCAGAATCCTCGAAGGCTTAGAGGACCCAGAAGCAGCCGTTCATGACTGCTTACTCTACCTGAAAGAGCTACACGATTTACCAGCAATACAAGCGATGTTTTCTGTATGGCGAGATTCTGATAAAGGGATTACATCCCGCTTAAGAGCTCTCTTCTACAAAGAGAAAAGAAATGTTAATGTAGAGTCGATACAAGTGATCAACGCATTATTAATGGATCTCATCATCAAATTTACAAACATCAAGATGGGTCTTTTGAACTGGCCAACGATAAAGATTGGTAAAGATTTCCATCATCCACTGTTGGAAAACCATGCGCTTCGAAGAAAATTTGAAGACAAAAAAACGCAGCTTCCTTGGTATTGGAGGTTTGATGAATGTATTGAAGCAGATTCTACTTGTGCGGTAACTAGCAAAGGAGAATTTCTATCACGCGTACGGTACGACGGTAATAGCCTTAAAGTCACAAGAAGAAGCGGCGAACACGAGTTGTTTTGTAACGTTCCCTCGAAAATATGCTGTTTTGCTGTAGGTGAAAATGATGATGTATATATCGTCGTCGTGAATATCCCGTCCTTTTATAAAAAGGATTCTCCTCCATGTAAATTATTATCCTTGGATTCTGATGGTAACGTAAAGGCGGACAGATTTCTTGACGTGATTGATGAACACCTGGTTTTTCCACAAATGAGTGTGACCAAAGATGGTATGATTGTTATCTACTGTAAAAGCAGGAAAAGTATGTATATCTGCGACAGCACAAACACCTCGCAAGACTACAAATTTCCTCTTCCATTCAAAAACAGCATGAAAAATGATAGCTTTACTGTTTCCAATAAAAATGAAATCATTTTTACACAAGGTTACTATGCTAAGAATAAACTCTTTTTGTACATCATTACAATCGATGGTAAGCTAAAACATAAAGTGCAAGTACCTCATGAACGTGATACCGGAATATTTGGTAAACTAAGTGTAGTCTCTAATCATGTCAATGAAACAATTCTTGTCAGTTCATGCGATGTATTGGTTGATGATCATACTAAGATCTTCTATTTCTCATACACTGGTGAATTCCTGCATCAGTTTTATATCCTGGGTAAATATCAACAGCTCTTGTCACATCATGCAAACGGACATATCCTTTTGGTTAACAACACTAAAGCCATTATGCTTCAAATGTAGTAATGTAAAATAACTTTCAAATTATTTTGTACAGAAGCAGTCTACAAAACCTTGAGCTGTAAGCGTGAAAAAAGCAATGCTGAACGTGTTTATGTCTTTTCTTAATGTTTCTTTTGTTTCGTAGTATTTTACAAAACGTGTTGTAGCACATGCGCATGGTGACAGCAAGCTCATGTGTATAAGTACGGTGGTCATCACGTATCTCGACGTGCAACAAGCCAAAGATGACGCGTAGAACGCCGAGACATTCATAATATCATATATAATACATCATCTCAGATATGCATGCACCCAACATCCGTTTATCCGCTATCTGTACATCTGGTGTCCGTTTACCTGGTATCCTGTATCCGTTGATCTGGTATCCGTCTATCCAATACCCGTGTTATTTGCCATGACTTTCTTAATTAAGGCGGATTTCCATTCAATGCAAGATGTCGCGCGATCGACATTTTGCGATCACTTTCTTTCGAAATACAAGCAATCAAACGCAACGGATGAGGTTGACTGAACACATTTCAAAAGAAAGTGATCGCAAAAAGTTGATCTCGCGATATTTTGCACTGAATGGAAATCGGCCTTTAGCCTGAGTTTCAGGCTCTATGCTTGAACGCAGGCCATGCCCTATACGTCTAAAATATGGATTTCCAAACTATTCACGCTATATACATGTCCAAATCGTTGAAAATTTCTAAACTATATCATGAACTCCTAGTAAATTGTACTGTGCACGTCTAAATTATCTTATGGAAATACCTAATTTGGATTCGGATATGTAGAATAAAAATTGAGCGCAAGGATAACATATTTTGAAAGTGAATTTTGACATGAATATAAACGCTTCATAACAACGAAGTTATTACGACACAAGTTTGTTGTACGATCCCATGACGATAAGATAATATTTTTTTGTAGAAAAATTTGCTTATTATTCCTAAGCTTTCGATATAGGGAGACTGCGGGTGCCACCGATAATATTTTTGTAGCTGAGAATTGTTTTTAAACGTGCGCATGCTCAATTCCCACCAGTTGTTTGCAGCCGATGTATTATTTCACCAGTTATTTGCAGAAAAATTAGCCAATCAAAATTGAGAAAAGAATTAGTTAATAATAAATAATATATTATTAGCACTCGTGAAGATTTGCAATAATGTCGGTGTTTCCCACAATCCAAAGCAAATATTACGACTTTTCTCGATGTTTTCCACGGGCTTGTCCTGGCTCGTATGAACAAGCCCTAATTATAGTAGCATCCCCTTGACAACTCAACACCAAAACATTACGTTCGAACGTTCGTTGTTTAAACATTAAAAAAACTATTGGCGTTCCACGGTCGAGTGAAGTCCGCAATCAAACGCAAAAGGAAGGCTATAGAAATATTTTACATCAGTTTACAAAGTCCGTCTCAAAGTTAAGATGCCTTTTGTAGTAAGCGGAATAATACATTCCGCCTTTGGTTTACTGCACAGGAACCTACGAGATTACATTGCGGAGAGACTCAACGAAGGCGATTTGACTGAAGAAAAATGCAGACAGATTGCTGTTCGCCAAATCGACGATTTCAAGTCGATTCTCGAAGGTTTGTCGAGCCAGAACTGGTATACCAATCACCACTTTTTCAATGGAATTAACAGCTTGTGTATTTCTCTCGAAATCTCTGGTGCCGAATCATCTCGTCATCGGCCCAGCACTTCAAAAGCACACTTACAGGGCAAATTTAAAGTCGAAGGCGCAACAGCCGCGAGAGTTGAGCAGTTTCCTGTCACGCAAGCTGAACGCGATGCCTTAGAAAGCGTGTTTGAACTTTCTGAAATCATTGGGAACTTAAAAATCGCATCGAGAGAACGCCACGACTCGGTCAAAGAGTCTTTTAAAGAAGCTAGGAAGCTTGCAACGGGAACATTTAACAACGTAGCGTTGAGTACAGAAGATAGATTGATGGCTTGCAAACTTCGCATTGCCAGCAGAATCCTCGAAGGCTTAGAGGACCCAGAAGCAGCCGTTCATGACTGCTTACGCTACCTGAAACAGGTACAGAATTTACCAGCAGTGCAAGCGATGTTTTCTGTATGGCGAGATCCTGATAAAGGAATTATATCCCGCTTACGAGCTCGCTTCAACAAAGAAAACGTAGAGTCGATACAAATGATCAATGTATTATTAATAGATTTCACCATCAAATTTACAAACATCAAGATGGGTCTTTTGGACTGGCCAACGATAAAGATTGGTAAAGATTTCTACCATCCACTGTTGGAACGCCATGTCTATGCGCTTCAAAGAAAATTTGAAGGGAAAAAAACGCAACTTCCTTGGTACGGGTGGAAGTTTGACGAATGTATTAACGACGATGTTTGTGCGCTAACTAGCAAAGGAGAAATTCTATCACGCGTACGGGAGGACGGTAAGAGTATCAAACGCACAAGAAGAAGCGGCGAGCACGAGTTGTTTTGTACCATTCCTTGGAACATACGCTGTTTTGCTGTCGATGAAAATGATAACGTATACATCATCGCGGAAATCCCGCCATGCAGTAAAAATGGTCCTCCTCGATATAAATTATTGACCCTGGATTCCGATAGTAGCGTAAAGGCGGACAGATTTCTTGACGTGATTGAAGAAAATCTGATTGATACACAAATGAGTATGACCAAAGATGGTATGATTGTGATCTACGGTTACACCAGCAGAAGTATGTATATCTGCGACAGCACAAACACCAGGCAAGACTACAAATTTCCTTTTCCATTCAACGATACATATCCCGGCAAGTTATACCATTATAGCTTTACTGTTTCCAATAAAAATGAAATCATTTTTCTTTTTCACAACGCTGGTGAGAATCGAAATAATAAACACTTCTTGTACATCATTACAATCGATGGTACGTTACAACGTAAAGTGCAAGTACCCGTTGAACGTAACTGGGGCGTGTTTGCTGTCCCGAGTGCAGTCTTTAATCATGTCAATGAAACAACTCTTGTCAGTTTACATCGTAGAAATCTTGCAAATACCGCAACTACTACGATCTTCTATTTCTCAGACACTGGTAAATTGCTGCATCAGTTTAATATCCGGGGTGAGTATCGACAGCTCTTATCACATCGTACAAACGGACATATGCTCTTGGTCAACAAGGAAGAAACCATTACTCTTCAAATGTAGTAAAATAATATAATTCCTACAGTACGGGCCTGAAAAAACGACGATAAACCTCAGTTGTTCCATGGTTTAAAACTTTTTCCCTACCTGTGAAAGCCCTACGATGTCTACACCATGCAAAGATACAGAATATTATGCAAAATAGATTTTAAACAAACTTACAAGTAAAGCATAAGATGGTGCAAGGGCCAGCAGAAGAGCTCCAGCGAAGAAAACAAACGCATTGATTAGTATTGTCCGTCTGCGACCAAGGTAGTCAATGATGTACCCTGTAATAATAGAAACATAATATCCAGGGCTACCTGTTTCATATTCTGAAAAAATTAGGGGAAGTATTCAGGGCTTTCATAATCTAAGTGCTATCTAACTTGATCAGCTTTTATATCATTATTATAAGTAGTCTTTACTCTAATTTATGTATTTCTAATTGTTGTTCAAAATTCGCACTATGTAATGAAAGAGTAAAAATAAATTATCTAATTATCTATCTATCTATCTATCTATCTATCTATCTATCTATCTATCTATCTATCTATATATATATATATATATATATATATATATATATATATATATATATATATATATATATATATATATATATATATATATATATATATATATATATATATATATATATATATCTATCTTAGTATCTATCTATCTATCTATCTAATCCTTTACTGTCACATAAAAATCTCACGACTTGTCAACAAGATGTGTTTGCAACAACCTTGTAGCAAGCTTGTCAACAATTTGTGACAATGCGGTTATTTTATCAAGTTGCTACAAACTGTTGAACTCTGTTGAACTGCAGGCGGAACGATAACTCTGTTTGAGATCAACAACCTTGTAGCAAGTTGTCAACAAGCCGTTGACAACTTGTCAACAAGCTGGGAACAAGCAGTGCGAACACATTCTGTTGACAAGTTGTTGGAACAGCATTACTGCAAGTCTGCTGCAGGTTTGTTACAACTTGTGCATTTTTACGTGTACAGTTGCTGCCCTCAAAACAGGAATATTTTTACTACAGTAAGGCTAAGAAAATAATTTATGACTGAGTATTAGAATTACTGCCATCTTTTTTGTACATTTTTTCTTGGTGCATTAGCTGAAAAAGCTGGCACTCAATGGGTTAATGCCATACCCATACTCTCTCATTGATGACTGAAATCGTTTGACATCAGAAACTAGTTTAACCCATTTGAGCGGCATTCAGTGCTTTCCTCCTTGACGAGTAAAATCGTCTGGCATTAGACAGAGCAAAGTGGTGAAGTAGGGCACATTGGGATGTATTGCTACTATAGCAGGGTCAATGTATAACATAGTACACTGTTTGATAAGATTATAGTGAATGACCAACCTCCTGTTAATGAGGCAAGCAAAGCCCCGAACAACATGGAACTGACAATCATTTCTTGCTGTTGACAATCCAGTTCAAATTCTTGTTTTAACTGTAGCATAGCACCTGACACAATGCCTAGAACGTGAATAATAATACATTGTAAATGGTTCCAAAGATGCAAAAGAAACTGTTCGCCGATTTTGACCCATTATGACTATCCTCTATATAGACGAGTGAAATTGTTAAACCCATTAAGCTGCATTACATACACTCACTCATTTTTATACCCACAATGTGCTTTTCGTGCTATTGAAATAGCCTATATTTGTAACAGATACAGAATTGTATTTCTTCATACCTAAATCATATCCAAACAATACTCCTCCCAGAGAGGCCACAACAGCTGCAAGTATATATCTTGTTGATCCACTAATATTGATACATCTAAACAAAAATTCAGAATTCGTGTTGAAAACGGAAGAGATTATTTCACTGGCCTCAAAGTGACAAAACGTAACAAAGCAACGGTTTTACTAACACTATTCTACTCCAAACACTAACTCTAACCCTAATCCTTACCGTTACCCAACCCTACTCCAAGTTTGTTTCTAAACCAATCTTGAAGAAAAAAGTTTTGACGAAATGTCATTCTGAGGTCAGCGAAATAGTTGATGCCTTTGAAAACAAGCAAAAAAGTCCAGCAAATACTTTAATCCACCATTGCCGGCTTGCAGCTCTCTCCCTCTGACGAGTAAAATCGTCTGGCGTTAGTCAGAGAAAAAAACTGGTATTTGACAGAGTAAAATAATAAACTGGGGTGCATTAGGTCACATTGCTCTTAAAAGGCTAAACTGATCAGACATATTTTATAAAAAGAAATTTCATTAGTTAATGTCTCGTTGTATAACATCTTCAGAGCTTTGAAGAGAAGATGCTCTATTAATTACTGTAAAATTTCTTTTCATAAAACATTTGTGGTATTAAAATAATTTGTTGGGCTATTTCATTCATTTTTAAAAATTCCACCTGGTATATTAATAGCTATGTTGAAAATGTTCAGTAGCCAAGTACCTTGAAAACGGAATTCTGGCGTTTGAGAACCAAGTTCTGGCATTTGAAAAGAGAGTTCTGGTGTTTAAAAAGGTACTTCTGGCGTTTGAAAACGGAGTTCCGGCGTTCGAAAAGGTACTCCCGGCGTTTGAAAAGGTAGTTCTGCTATTTGTAAAGGGCAGTTTGGCATTTGAAAAGGGAGTTCTGGCATTTGAAAAGGGAGTTCTGGCATTTGAAAAGGGAGTTCTGGCATTTGAAAAGGGAGTTCTGGCATTTGAAAACCAAGTTCTGCCATTTGAAAACGGAGCTCTGGCGTTTGAAAACGGAGTTCTGGCGTTTGAAAAGGTACTTCCGGCGTTTGAAAAGGTACTTCTGGCATTTGTAAAGGGCAGTTTGGCATTTGAAAAGAGAGTTCTGGCATTTGAAAAGGGAGTTCTGGCATTTGAAAAGGGAGTTTTGGCATTTGAAAAGGGAGTTCTGGCATTTGAAAAGGGAGTTCTGGCATTTGAAAAGGGAGTTTTGGCATTTGAAAACCAAGTTCTGGCAGTTGAAAAGGGAGTTCTGGTGTTTGAAAAGCGCGAAATAATGACCGGTCAACGGACAATGTCCGGCCAGAATGCGGAGTTGTCCGGTCAAATTCTTACCTTGCCGGTCATTTTGACCGCTCACTTTCGGTAAAACAACAAACTAATCTTCGTTTGAATTAATAATCAAAATAAAGTTATCAAGTATTGTAATTAAGAACCATAACATGTTGTCGAATATTGTGCGAGAAAAAAACTTCAATGTACGCCAGCTTTCCCACGCAGTACGTCACAAAGCCCACGGCCATGCTTTTGGCTTAAGAGTTAAGGCCATGCTTTTATAGCAGTGCAAGCTGTTTTATGTGAAGGAGTTTTTAATTACTGATTACAATAAGGCTTTTCATAATGCTATACTGGGAAAATAGTCACGTTTTTAGGGGTATACTTTACTAGGCTTTGCTTTAAGCTGTCAAATAACTTGACCGGCCAGAAATTCGGTATGTCCGAGTTAAAATTAAGTTGGCGGGTCACCTCGACCGGCAACCCTCCAGCCGTTATTTCGCGCCCTGAAGTGGTGTAGACAACTGCAGCGCTATATACATGGTAACTGGCAGGACAGATTAGTACATATAAATATCTCATTTCAGGTTAGGATGAGGGGTCCAGAATTAGGGGTGGCAGAATCCCTGGTTTTTATCATGATCTAAAATGACATGAATGTTGTGTGTGTACAGTCCACATGTTCAAAATTGTGTTGGACAGCAGTGTGTGATAATTACATATTTTTAGTCGTACCTGACTGGTACGTCAATGGTTGTTGCCGCGTACTTGCGCTAGTACAAACTTAGTACTCAATAGGGCCATTTATACGAGACAAAATAAGACGCGACTTACATAAGACGCGACTTAAATTAGCGGAGTTATCGCATAAATGGTTCTCTACGCCTTTATTCTTATTTACTTGCTATAGCTATTATGTTGTTTCGGTTGTTTTTGTTTTAATATGCAAGGCTAATAATTTTACGTTGTTTGAAGTTTCGGGCATGTGTAGTTATAGAATTTTTGTCCAAAATTTCTTATTTAAGACGCGACTTAAATAAGAACAGCTAAAAGTCCTGTTCTTATTTAAGTCGCGTCTTATCCAAGACGCGTCTTACATAAGAATTTTGTACCTTTTATACGACAAACTCGCGTCTTATTTAAGTCGCGTCTTATGTAAGTCGCGTCTTATTTTGTCTCGTATAAATGGCCCTAATAGCGCTCCTAATAGGGCCATTTATACGTGACAAAATAAGTCGCGACTTACATAAGACGCGACTTAAATAAGTGGAGTTATCGCATAAATGGTTCTCTACGGCTTTGGTCTTATTTATTTGCTATAGCTATAATGTTGTTTTGGTTGTTTTTGTTTTAATATGCAAGGCATTAAATTTTACGTTGTTTCAAGTTTCTGGCATGTGTAGTTAGACTTTTTGTCCAAAATTTCTTGTTTAAGACGCGACTTAAATAAGAACAGCTAAAAGACCTGTTCTTATGTAAGACGCGTCTTATCCAAGACGCGTCTTACATAAGAATTTTGTACCTTTTATACGACAAACTCGCGTCTTACCTAAGTCGCGTCTTATGTAAGTCGCGTCTTATTTTGTTCCGTATAAATGGCCCTAATGTGTACTTAGTCTTTAAAATAAGGTTCATAAAGTACAGGTTTCTGAAAAGTACATTCATACTACCAGGTAGAAAAAGAAGCACAATTGCAAAAACAAACAATCGACTGCAACGTTTCTTAGCGCCATCAGTGCAATCATGTTTCATGTCAAGACATCTCAGACACATGATATACCAACTAAATCACGGTATTGAATACCTTGGACTTGGAAAGGTCATGTGGTACCAGCAAAAAATAAGTACGCAGATAGCAAGAGTTCCGCGTACATAAGTGGCACGTGACTGAAAACAAAAAAGTACCCCACGTAAAGTACACAAATTGTCACACCCTGGACAGGTAGAGTTAAGTTCAGAAACAAACCAGGACGAGAGTGCATGATCATGCATGAGAGTTTTCAGTAGTGCAGTCTTGGTTAGCTCTTCTTAAATCTTTTCCCAACACTATATCATGTATTTTATTTAAGTTGAAACGTAATAGGAACACTCATTAAACCTTTATTTTGTTAATTTAGAGCGTGAAATGTTCGCTGTTACAATTTGTAACTGGGAACTATCATTAAATCTCATCTTCAATTGACCAAAGCTTTAGACTTGGTTCAAGTCCGTCTTCGGGAGAAATGGATATGGGACATTTGCAGCATCTTATTCGCAGCACATTAGCGACATTACTGTACATTCAAATTTCTTGTTGTTGCAAGCCATGTCTCCAAAGGGAAATCCTACAGTTATTAAATTTTGGAGCGCTTGTGTAGATCACAGCTTGTGTGCATCGCTATTTTCAACACCTTTAGAGACGGACTTGAACCAAATATTTAATAAATAACTATGGTAATTGTTTTAATAAACACAAATTTGATACCCTAGAGAATCTTTAGTTTCCACCGACAATCTCTCTGTCATCTCCATCTCGTGGTACAATTGTTGAGGTTCATCTTGAGGTTCATCTTGAGGACACGAACCGTCCAACAGATTGGCTATATAAAAATAAACCGCACAAATCAGCCTTCACAGTTTTTTATGGCAAACATAAATTAGCAATGAATTATCCACAAAGAAAATTGGTGTTGTCCGGAAAGGCAGGAAATCTATCCTCTAATAATAGGAAAATGTACCACTGATAGCCAGGGGGTAGATATTATCTGGAATGACTCATTGCCTGATTAGGAAATAATACAGGAAAGACTAATTAGATGCATAAATATCAGGATTTATTGTATTAGATCTATACCAGGAGCAGTTGAGAAACGAGGGCTGCAGGTTCGATTCGTGCGACAACTTTTGTCAAGGTGAAAGTTGGGGTCATTAGACCAAGTTGACCCATCGAGTGGTAGTGCTCTCCTCTTGACAAGTGAAATTGTCTGGCATTGAAATCTTTCAAATTAAACAAGTTATCATTCGGTAAATAATTGCTTTCCATTTTTTTTCAGACATTACATTTGTGACGTTAAGAATGCAACATTAAGGTTACAGGACACCTTTGAGTGTTAAATTGGCCCAAATTTTTTTTATTGGCTTTCATAAAAGCTTTAGACCACTTCTAATATCTGACCAAGTTTGAAAGAAAAATGTTGAAAACTCGCGGAGTTATTTAATAAAATACATTTCTCTGCAATATAAACAACATTGAAAATGTAATATTCAAATTCAATTTTCTCGGGACTATTTTTGCGGTAATTACTGATTTTCAAGCCAGTTGTTCTCCTGTGCGTTGTAACCGATTGTTCTAAAATTTGCACAGCGCATAGCTGATGACTTCAGCATAAAAAATGTGTTCGGCTTTGTTTTCATTTTGGATATTTAGTGAATTACGAGCAATTCAGTCAACATAATTTGAAATATATTGTAATAATCAAAGAAATCAATATATCAAACGAACGGCGAAAAAGCTAAACAAAGCCGAACACATTTTTTTAAAACAACTATTTAGCTCTACAATAATGTTATTTTCGAAAATATATCTTAAAACCGACAGGAGAACAACTCAAAGACGTGAAGGTACCGAGTTTTTAATTTTCCGGAGTAATTCTTGGATTATTTTATTGGTTTGTCAATTTGACAACTTTATTATATTCTGCATGCCCTGGCAAACATTTGGTGAAAATTTGACAAAAATCGGACGCTTAATAAGAGCGTAGTAGCGATTCTCCGCGAAACGCCACAAAAGGTGTCCTGTAACCTTAACCAATTGTTCTTAAATTTGCACATATTGCAGGTGTATGTCGTAGCTACGAATAGGATAAAAATTCACACCTGCCAACCTTAGCGACTGATATATCATAGGGCAAATTCTTATTTAGACACTTAATTTGGCGGGAGAATTGGCTGTTTAGAGGGAGAAAACCCATCAAAGCCTTTTCATTAGAGCAGTCAGATTAGTGTCTCATTCAAACTCCTAGCTACATGCATACACTCGCAGCACAAGAAGCTCCGTGACTAATGTTAAATTGGGCACTATCTTGGACTGAAAATACAACATGAAGACGTGTTTTAACAAATAAATACTTCAATTATTTGCTGCACATTGATATTTCTCGATAAAATTCAATAAGATCGCCAAGAAATCAGGGAAATTGCCAGTTGCCAATACCGGGAGAAATTTTTCACTGCCAGGAGACCGGGAGATTACAAGGTTTTATATATTACACCAGGAGATTCTTATGCTATGTCGGGAGAGTTGGCAGGTCTGGAAATTGTGAAAAAATTTGCTGAATAACGGTAGGTCTCCTGAACACAGAGTAGATACATATACAGAGTTGTAACTAGTGTACCCACTTCTTTTGTGCGCATGCTCAGCAAGTTACTAGATGCATGCATCTGATTGGATGACGACTCACTTTAACCGCTTGCGGAACTTGCCGAGCATGTGCAGTTGATCATTTTTTGACCTGTCGCCGGAAAAAAAGTGGGTACATGAAAACGTAAGCTTCCGCAGTATTTACAATGGTCAGTTACAGTTCTGTATATGTATTCACTCTGTGTCCTGAAACCCATGCCTAGGGCA